GTAATAATTTAGCCATGCATCAATTACGTATTGTAAATATGTTTAGAATAGCACTTCTCCTTATGTATTACTAAGTATGACAGAAACATTAACATCATACGGAAATTCAATGCTCACATAATGAGAAGAAAAATATTTTTATCCAAATAATATTTCAGAAATAAAGTTTTTTATTTAAAATTTATTTTCAAACATTTGTATTTCAAGATAAAGCTTTTAAAACTATTTTCAAATTGTATGTTGTAGCATTTACACACAATTTCTGATCAGTAATTTTGGTTTATCCATTTTATTAAAAAATAATCATCCAGCTTAAATATTATAAAATATAACACCATTTTAAGAAATAAGGATTCCTGGAAATATTCATGTTGAAATACAATAGTCTTTGCAGTGCAATTTTGCAAAAATATAGCTTCTAAAGAAGAATATAGCTTATTCTAAAGAGCTGGGTTGTGATTCCCATTAGCGGGTTTGAAGACTGCCCAGCGTCAGATCGAAGGGTACCAGCTAGTTTGGGAAGTAAAGTAGGCATGTGCGCAGTGTAGACCATATTGCCGCAATCATACTGTTGATCACGAAATTGTGGAACCTTATCCTCTATGACCTACTGGTTCACAACGAGATGTAGAGGGAATGCTTTACTTTTTTTAATACCTTTTTTTTCGTAGCATTAAGATTAAATATTTTTTTTTTTGAAAATGTGTTCGGTTATTTCTATAAAATAACTCAATACTAAGTTCATAATGTAGATTACTACTTCATATAATAATACTTTTAAAAAAATAAATAAATAAAACAAATAAAAGATAAGATTCCTTAAAAGTAAATTTATCTTTCAAATCTTTTCGAATGANAAAAAATAAATAAAAATAAAATAAATATCTAAAAATAAAATAAATAAATAAAAATAAAATAAATAAATAAAAATAAAATAAACAAAAATAAAATACATAAATAAATAAAAAAAATAACTAAATAAATAAATAAGTAAACATATTGCTTCCACATAAGTTTCCTATATTTCTTACTTTAAGTTATTTTCTTGGCTAAGCTTGTTCCTTAACTCAATCAGACGACCCAATTTACAACTCATTAGTAATTTTCATACTAACTAATAATTTAGTTTTATTTATACTAACTCGTGTTTTCTTTCCTACCAGTTGCATTTTGCAATTGTTCTGATCTGACATATCCCATTTACTGCAGCAATTTTTTAAAAATATTTTACTTGAATACAACAGCGAATTTGAAATCTTTTCTTTCATCTTTTATTTATAGTCAAACGCTTCAACACGCACAGCAAAAAAAAAATTCGAAACTAAAACCTAAAAACTACTCTTCTCTATTAGTAAAAAACAACTACAACATTAATAAAAAACAGGGTTGATGTAAATTGTTTTCATTATACTTGATCAGCCCTATTTCAAAAAACCTGAATCAGTAAAAAAAACAAACTATTTTTTGTTTAGCCGATTCTGATATTTTCTTAAAATGTGAACGTTTTACCCAACGGAATGGGAATTGCTGTGTGTTTTGAATTTGCATAAAAGTGGAATTTAAAAAGACTTATTTTTTAAACCACTCGATAAGTTTTACTTTTGTAAATTACTGCAAAAAACGGGACCATAGCCTTAATCATTAGAATCATTAGAATCAGAATCAGCTCATTTGTTTAACTATTCCGTATTCTGATAAATTTGCCAGCGTAGTTAAAATATTTTAACTGGACTAATATTTTTAAAGAAATATAATGTTTAAAGAAATATAATGCCTAAAATTTAAATATAATGTTAAATTATTTCGTAAATGAATATTTTTCCAATGCATACTTTGGCAGATTTCATGAATATTTTTTTTACAATAAGCAAATCACCTATAATAAAAGCTTTATTTTCAAAATTGTTAGAAATATGTTTCTATATTTTGTGTTTGATGGCTTTACATTTCTCTTATTTAATGTAAATATTAAGAAATTCCTTTAATAAAATTTAAATAAATTTCTCTATTTGCGCAATTCAGTTTAAGATAAAACAAAAGTTAAATATGCAGTGACAATGCTAAACTAATATGATGAGTTTTGGAAAAGTTTCATTCTTTTCTCTCCTTTTTTTTAAATACATTTTAAAAATCCTAATAATTATGCATGGAAAACAAACTTATTTATGAATGTATTTTACTTTACAAAAATGAAATTTTTAAAAGTAATTTATTTTTTAATATTGCCATGTTTAACTTTTAAGGCTGGCGGAAGAGGTAAGAAGCACTGCCCCAGCCCACACGCCCAGAGTTTATGCGTACCTAAGAGAACGTATGCGTACTAATGAGTGACGAAATATGAGAGTACCGTATTGAGATGCATTTGTGTGACGTACGTTGAGATACGTTTATAGGTCATTCTCACGAAAACTGTCATTTTTCAGATCATAAAATCCCAAAAAAGTAAAGGGAATAAAAAGCTCTGAAACTTTTTATATTAATAGAAATATACAATGGCATTATAAAGAAAGTATATATCCTATAAATTATACTTAATATTTAAATAAATTAATTAATTTCACTATTTAAAAAGTGAGGGAATGACACTAATAGTGAGGGAATGATATTTTATTCTAATACATGTCTTTCTCTAAGTTACAGCTACCTCAATTTTGAAAATGATAACATACTAAGTATATCTAATATTTATTATAATTTAGTTTTATATAATTCATAGTTTTTACAGGTTTGGGAAATAAAATTGACTGCCACGATTGAACAAAAAAAATTTTAATAATATACTCATCTTGAATCATTCCCTCACTTCAGCATCATTCCCTAATTTTATACACTAGTGGGGGAATGACAAAATTAATAAAATTTAAAAATCACAGTTAGGCCTAATTAATTTCTGAAATCAATCACATATAATTATATTCATACAAGAAAGCAACATATAATTATCCACTTTCTCGATGAAGTTGTATTTTATTTTACTCTAAAAAATGACAT